TTATATATTTTTGGTAACATTGTACACAGTGGCGGTTCCAGGAATCTTGAAAAGGGGGGGGGGACCAGTGTGGTCTCGGGATACTGGCTCAAGGCCACACCAAAAAAATTGATTTATTAAATCTGAAATCTGATGTATATTTTGGACACAAAGAGGGGGGGGGGGGGGCTGGACCCCCCTCTAAATCCGCCATTGGTACAGTTTAAAATCTAATTTGGCCAAAAAAGTAGTTGGTGGTGGGTAAAAATTAGAGATGGTCGACTTAACGGAAACACATAAAAAAAAATTTTAGCCTAAAAAGAAGTCATATAATTCCGATTCACTGTAAAAGAACAAAACATATTTAACTGCAGCTATAAATACAAACTAATAAGATATAAATATAATATAATTTAGGACTGTGACACAGGAGCATCACTTATGAAAGGTTGCACTCAAATAGTACAACGATGAAGGATATATGAGCAACTGTAAGTACACTATAATTTAATTAATTCAATTTTCTTTTTTCACTTGATGTATGCTTTATCAAACTTTTAAGATAATCTTAATTCACAAGCAAATTTATGGTGGGTATAATTTATAAATATTCAATCAGAACTTGTTCAGGAAAGTTTCGCTTGTGAGTACAAGTTCATACATTGAATATGTATAAAATTTATTTAATATGCAATTATATAATATATATATATATATATATATATATATATATATATATATATATATATATATATATATATATATATATATATGAAATAGTGTTGATGACTTGTATGATTATCCCTAATGCATATGATTTATACAAGAAAATTGCATAGGCCTACATGTATAAATTAACTACAAATAGAAATATCCAGTATACAGTAATGATTGATATAGTTGCAAATGCTTGGGAAAGAACCTTTATTCTTGTGTTTTTATCATCATTATTCAACACAAAGGCTATATACCAGAAGCAGGAGGCAGTTACAAAATTAACTAATGGAGACAGAAACCTTGCAATTGACTGTGAGAATTGAACATTGGACAGTATCTTCCCTGAACAATATTCTTTTGGAGAAGATTCTGTTTGAGCATGGGGACAGCTTTTGGAGTAGGTGATGGTAAATTGTTTCAGTTACTTTTATCTTGCGATTGGCTACACTGAAAATACTGTATGTGTACATAAATTGGCGTATTCAAAATTTAGCGCAATCACTGGGTATGGAGTAATCATGAATTAGCGCTACATACGTCTGCGGCATGTATTGTATTTATTAATGATTTAGTTAAGGTATTCATTAATTGGTGCATTGTTGTCTGCGTTAAAGGCAATAAAATATGAAGAACAGGTGCTTGGGAATGGGACCCCCTCCCCCGCGTTCCATACTCCAAGGGTTCTCCCCGACTTTTTTTATAATAAAATACATTTCTATTACACATTCACAAAGTATTACAATTCAAAAATCCAAAATATAATCTAAAACTAACCTTTTATTAAAATTCATAATCTCTGATACTAAAAGTTCTCTTTTAGTATCCGAGAGTATGAATTTTTATAGGAGGGGGGGGGGGGGGGGGGTCCCGTCCACAAGCACCTGTGATATGAAGCCTGCTTTTTAAGTACACATGCAGGAATTTTGAGGCAATTTATTTCAAGATGTAAATACTAACTACTAGCTTAGTATTATATACATTTTGATAAAAATAGATATGCTTATATACTTGTATTTGTTATCACATGAAAAATGTAGTAGATATTAAACAATTGATTTTTGATTAAAGTATACATGTATGTTTTTTTTTTTCAGGGGAAAAGATGAAGATGATTATTTCAAGTATCACTTTTCAAACCCATTTAAAATTCTTCTTTACTGGTCAGACACAACACCACATAATGGTCAACCTCTGATGTAAAGAGAAATCATGGAAACATCAAGCCTAGCTGTTCCTATTGTCTACAAAATTGCTATCTAGCAGCTATTTTCTACATTTTGTTTATCTCTAAATACACATTTTGGATAATGTTTAGATGTAGATTATTGCTTGATTAATAATTTGAAAAAAAAACAAACTGTTTTTAAAAGTAACGATAAAATTATACATATTCACATGAATATGTGTATGTTTTCTGATTGTAAGACCATACATTAATGGTATTATTTTTAATGGGGTGTTAATTTATGGTCAGTCTAAATAATTCTAAATTTCTTTAACCAAATAAAATTGACATCTAAAGATTTGCATCTGGGAACAAGCAAAATTTAAAAGGAGGAAATTAACATTAGCTTATCAAATTTCAAACCTGCTAAATTAATACACTGTATCTACCTACCTATGCATGAAAAACTAATAATTTATTATTTATTTATCATTTTTGGTTGAAAAGTATCATTAGAGTTTTAATCCATTATCTTTTTCCATTTTTTACCTAGTATTTGAAAATGTTGTTTACTGAAATAAGTTCCAGTGAAAAGTTGAATAGCTAATTTTCATTAGATTTTGAGTTATCTGCCCTTTGTAAAGGATCATAGAGAAACAATAATAATTCATTTAATTTTGTTTTATCCTATTTATTATCTTTAATAATATTTACTAATCATTCCGTTTGTCTTATTTATTAGTGAGAAAAATGTTTGGAAAAGAAATTTTATAAAACAACCAGTGTCTAGTAACATTTTGAACAAAATATTATTTGGCAAAATGCCAATTTTCGAAGTAAAAAATACCGAAAACGAAAAAAATCCCCACTCCACTTTTCATAAAAGTTAACTAATATTATTATGGTGTTTTTAAAATTTCAGGTGATTTTTTCTTGAATTGCCTGCATTTCTTGAAAGACTTCTTGAAATATAGGGTAAAAACGACCATTTTCAAAATGTAAGAATTTGGTCATCTTTGAGCCATCAATTGAAGAATTTGCAGGTGACTTGTAGAATTTTTTTTATTGTGTTATATAGTGCTTCATTTGTTCTATTCATATAATGTATGAATTATCTCAAAATAATAAAGATGATTAAACCACAAGAAATCAAGTATATAGCATTTTTATGCTTGAATTGAGAGTAAATGGGGACAAAATCTATATTGGCCCGTTACCATGGCAACCAAGGTAGTAACTTTAATTTTGAATGTTGATTATGTCATAGTGTAATGGCATTAATCAACTGAAAAAGTTTCATGAAAATCGCTCATGGTGTGTGCCACAGCCCTACAGTAAAATTTTGGTCCTTACAGAGAATTGATGTTAAGTTGTTAAGACTAAATTGATTTTGTTTAATATGATATTTTTATTTAATTTTTTGAAAATATCAACTAGTAAATTTCAGAGCATCATGTCTCACAAATATGAAAGATGTGTGTGTGTGTGTCACTGTGTATGTGTGTGTGTGTGTGTGGGGGGGGGGGGGGGGTGCAGATGGGCATTTGTCAAGCTCTAACACTACCAGTTGAGGATCTATAATGTAATATTTGTTATAATGCCTACACCACAGGAAATGTATAAACAAAAATTGTAAGAAATGGAAAAATCTTGGAAATCCTTGTATCAAGGTTGACTTTATTTTCTTGCACTCTAAACTGTTCGTGATAATTGAACAATATTTGACGGGCGTATCATGCTGGGGCACTTTATTATACAAAGGTAGTAACATCCCTACTACTTTGAAAAGTGCCAGGAGCTGGTTGTGCGCTGTTGCTTTTTTCCGTATTTTATCATTATTTCAATGCATATTATGTCAATGTAGGAAGTTTATCAAAAATTTTACATAATTCTCAGGCATGGGGAAGTTGCTCCCAGCACTTTTCAGGTTAAGGAATTTGTCTTAAAGAAAACAAAATTAATTTCATAGTGAAAAGATATCCGTATATCGTTGTACTTTATGATCTTTGTAGCCATACATATTTTTTGTAATTTTAAACATATCACTTGACAAACAGCTGATGTAAGTAAAGTTGCTTTGGCCGAACTCGGCAAAGACCTCATGTATATGAGGGTTGTCCCAGAAAACACAAACTTTTTGTATATTTCAGAAACTATTTGACCAGAACTAATAATTTTTTGCAAGTTGTTGGAAAATGATATTTTCAGTATTATGACAAAATATTTTAGGCTTGTGATGTCATTAATATGTAAAAACGGCATTTAAAGGGTGTTAAATATCGGTGGTCTGCACACTGCAGTTTATTGACTTTTAAAAGTAGCATTGTCAATGAATTTTTCTTTATTACCAGGCTATACGGAAATATAATGTCACAAACTTTACCTCCATAAATACTCTTTGATCTAGCTGATATACTTGTGTATGAAAATTCATTAATTTGATATCATTAATGACAAATATATGACGTTATATGCCAGAACACTTTTAATTAGATATTGTTAAAAATGGTGACGTTTAGTGATAATTTGGAGCACAAATTATTAAGCAGCACTGTCTTTAAAACAGGATAGGACTCTTGCCCATACGATGAAAGAGATATTAGTGCTGGAAGAGACATTTTGTAGACCAAAAGAAATGAAGACAAACTGAAAGTCCTGAGCTTTACGTCATAAGCCTAAGCCAAGGCCATCGTTAAACAATGTGAACTGTTAGGTTTATTATCGGAATTGAGAAATTGTCTATTGAAAGAATTAATTCCACAATCTTTTAGCAACACACGCCGTATTTGAGATGCATTACTTGGTAAATAAAATAAAATTAAATACTGTGCCGAATTTATGCTTAAATAAACTAATTTTATCAGAAGCACATTTCCAGAAAAAATTCACAAAAATGTTGATCATGATCTATGCCTATTTTTAACTTTACAGTATTAGTGAAACAAAAGATATTGAAAATGTTCACGTATTTCTGGGACAACCCTCCTACATATGCAAATAGTAGAATTCCCATTAATCAAAACTCATGCTGTAAAAAAAAAATCAACACTATATTTATTTTCTCGGAATATTTTTAGGCGTATTATTTCCTGTGGGCATCCTTAACCTTGCTGCTTTATATTTTTTATATGGATTTTTATATCTTTACAACAAATTGCAGAGTGTCATGTCTCACTAGGATGACAATTTTTTAGAGTAAAGAATAACATAATTTTCTTGCACTCTAAAATGTGTACGATAATTGAACAATATCATACAGTGGCAGGGATTTTTATTACTCTTGCAAATTGTATGAAACAAAAATTATTTTTGGAAAAATACATTGTGATTCATATATTGTGACTACTATATTGTGATTGTTGCATAAAACCTGTATTGTTCCTGCAGTCCTAATATTTCATCATATATGTTATTATGTTTATATGTAACTTTAAACTTTTTATTTATGGTTTTCATTATCATTTTACAAGCATTGATGCATCTGACAGCTTCCAAAGGCTTGGAAAGTAGGTTAATGATGCAGCTATAGACAACCCCATCTTATGCATGTTATGAGAAGTTAAAAGTGTTTAACAACTACTCCAGGCTTTTTCTTTGCAAGAAGGGATATTGATAGAGGGAAGGAGATCAGATATGACTATGGTGATCCCCATGCCCAATGGACAATCTTCCTTGGAGTTCATCACTCATCAGGTAAATATTTAGAATAATGGATTTTCAAATTTGATACGCTGCATCCTCTTTGTAGTGCATTTTTTTTTTCAATGTTCTTGAGAGGTCAAGAGATGAAAAATGTTTTACCCAACAGTGTTCCAAGTCACACTTACTTTCAGGTCACTAAATGAGGACCTAAAAAAAATTTTGGCCACCATTTCAGAATATTTCACTTGCCATAATGAAAATATTTTGTGAATAACACTAGTAAAACAAGGAACTAACACCCTGTATGTTTTATGTCTTTACTAAATCAAAGATGTAAGGTATTACTGTGACTATAAACAATTTGCTAGGTTTAAGGAAATATTTTTATTAGTACAACCACCCTTATGGTTGTACAGTACACAGAGGAACACAAGAAGACTGATCCTAGAATTAAAATTTATTCAAAAGAAAATACCAAGTTTGACACTTATTGAGACAGGACTTTGCCAGCTGTTTGTCATGTTTACTTATTATTACATAGTACGTACCTAACCCATTAAACAGTCATTATTAATGCTGCCAAAACACTTAATTATTGTAATATGCAAGCAATTGACCAAATGTTTCAATAACAAGGTCAGGTTCTAAAAAGTTTATGACGTTTGGATGCCATTCTGTCAGGGACGTATAGTATAGGTCCGTGGTTCCATCAAACTGTATAAGTAGTCACTATTAAAGCATGCTGTCATAACATTACGACTTGATGATTAATGATTTTTTTTGCGGACAAACAGACAGATGGATGCACAGGGCAAAAACTATATACCCCCGAATCTACGATTACAAGGGCACTAAAATTGATGTTCAGCAGATGCAAGTTTCTGAAGTTTACATCACGTACATTGAAATATATTAATTTGTGAACTTTTTTTCCAAGAATAGGAAAATAGCAATTGGTGAAAATGATGAATTAATTAAATTGATGGGGAAAAAACAACATCTTTTTGTGATCCATATTTTAGATAAGACCAAAAAAATAGTCTTGTTTCCTGCTACCAGCCTGAAAAAAGAAATAGGGTAGGTAGGTAGGAAAATTATTTTATTGTATATTTTCATTTTATTTTTTTTTTCGACAACATTTTTTGGATATGAACTAATAAAAGATAAAATTAAACATGTCACAGGTCAATATTGTCTTTTAAAATCAAATTTCATGTCTTTTGACTAAACTCAAGTGGTATTCTATGAAAGTCCACATTTAAAACAAGAATTTCATGAAATGTTAACACAGAAAACGATTATGGTGACAGAACGATGAAATTCCGGAAATTCGAGATTTTTTTCTTCCAAAATTTAAAAAAAACAAGACTATTATTTTTTTTTGGCCTAAATAAAGTAAATTATTGAAAATAATACCTCTAAGACAAGGTTAGAGTGATTATTATTATTGGATTACAAGATCACCTTGATATGAAATATATGGAGATAATGAACAGTATTCAAGCTCAAAAGTCCATTATACAATACAAAATAGGAGCAGAGCAAACACGGACCTCCAAACATCAGAGGTGGGATCAGGTGCCATGGAGGAGTGAGCATCCCCTGCAGACCGGTCACACCCGCCGTGTGCTCCTTGTCATGATTGGGAAATAACGGAAAAATCCGTCGACAATTCAGTGTGTAAATAATGGTCTAACAATTAGTATGAAAAACGTCAGTCAGCATTTGACTCAATGATAAATTGTATTTGCTGACAAGGTCATTGTATCGACCATAGAACTTACAAAATGATGACTTTAAATGAGACAGCTGATATTTGATTATATGTACAGGATCACCTCTTTGCCTCATGCTATAATAAATATATTTGTAATACCTAGGTTACACATATCCTTAAAGTTCTTAGTATTGAACAATTGCAGTAATTTATACGTATGGATGTTTTTTTTAAAAAGAAATAATTTGCATTGATAATCTTGATAAACAGGACATACTAGTAGAAAGTGATATTCATCCTCGACACAAGTATGACACAAAAAAACATTTCCAGTGGGATCTGTTTGCTTTATTATATCCAGTTTCAATAGCTAAAAGGTGTGAAGATAATCTTAACTTTGATATACATTTTTGAAACTTAGTCAGAATTGAATTTCTTAAATAATACGGTAGGTAAAACCCATCAAGTAGATATTTATAGAAAGAACATTTCTGCGAACTTTGAAGTTTAGTATATTTCTTGTTTAGCCTGATCCAAGATCCTTTGATAAATTGTCATAATGGTCCTTACAATTAGGGTCTACCTAATAGGACTTCTCAGTTGATTGTACAATTTACACCTGGGTGACCATTGCCCTTGCTGTTTAGTGTTATATAAAAAAACAATTAGTTTATTTGATACTTTTTATTAATTTATTTTATGTTAAAAACATTTATTTAATAGCATGTTAAATTTCTATTCAAAATGCATCGAAATAGCTTACATTAAAGGTATCTGAATGTAGTTGTAGGCATAAATATAATCACAATTAATTTTGTTTTGCACATATATTATAGGAAGCATTTTGGAGGCAAACCCTGTTGCAGCATTTCTACATGTTCCACAGATTGTGCAGACTAGTCAGGACCTTGTAAATTCACATGTTCAACAGCTTAGGCAATTTAGTACAGGTATGTGTAACTCTTCTGAAATATAGGAGGAAATTTCAATACAAGACTTGTAGCATAACTTATATTACATTGTCAGTTCTTCTTTGCATGTTCCTTAGAGTGGATTATTGAGGCAGACCCTGATGGAAAACTTGCACATGTTCCACAAACCAGTGAAGACCATTTTGCAGAATATAAACTTCTTCCGCAGATAAGCCAAGACCCTAATGGTGTTCATGTGTGTGTGGTTAATTATTTGCTCTGAAGCTGATATGTGGACTGAATATAAAACTGTCTTTTTCTACAGTTAAGTCCATCTTAATCTGAAAATACTACCGGTACATTTTGAATTATGCTTTATTATGCAGAAAAAAAAATAATTAGTTTCAAATATGAAAAGTCTGTTGATACACTGCTTTGCAATTCCAAAAGTGATAATGTGATAAGTTTTGATGTGAATATGTGACATGTGCCATTATCAATTTTCATAAATAAAATCAAATACAAAGCCCATTCCAATTTAATGTTTTGCTTGTCGGACCCGCACGCTCTTATTTGAACAAAGCTATACAAATAATATTAATTTAAATCTCCTGCACCTGGGAAATTCTGTGCCAGTTTCTGTTTTATTTCCGCTCTATTTTTGATAATTTAAATCTGTTTACTCTACAAATCAGAAAAAAGTAGAAAAAATATAATTGTCACTCAATTTTTTTCATGTTATGCCTAAAAATTTTGCATACAAAAAAGTAATAATATTATTATTTAATCTCTTGCCCGCTCTTACTTTTTTCACCAGATGTGAGACGAACAAGAAATTAAATTCGCGTGGTGAAATTATGTTTTATTAAAACTCATTTAAAGCTAACTGTCTTATTTTTTGGATTCCTGATGTGATCAATCGAGTGGCTTGCGTGATAATTTGCATAAACGCCGAAGGCGTTTATGCATAAAATTATCACGCAAGCCAATCGATTGATCATCGTCATGAATCCAAAAAATCTGATAGTTATTCCTTATATTTACATGCTCCCAAATTCCCATGCTAATAGCCCCGCTTCTGTCTCTATTTGTCCCGCCCCGCACGTGATTTTTTTTTAACCACGCCTATCGATGAACTAGTAGATTTATGTAGAAATAAAGTATTTTTACAATTTGTAATTTTATCTCGGACAAAGACATTGGAAATGTAAATATTTATGCAATAAATGATAAATAAAGACTAAACAGTCATGTTCACAAGCCAGAGGTGATAAAATATATATCTATTCTATAGGAAAAAAAGAATTATAAAGTGACATCAATTTTTCAAGTAATGTCTGTCTAGAACCTGTACATCAGATTTCGTATTTTGTGTGATTTTTTGAAGGATTTTTACACTAACAAAGTTAATAAAATCAAATCTTAGTTCTAAAATTTAATAATTTATTTTTAGATTGTCAAAATGCTTGTTAATTATAGTATCAAAGCTTGAATTGTATATCAATATTCTCCAGGAGGTAAATATTTCTATATATTGGTATATTGGTTGTCCCATAGTTTGTGTATAGTTTGTGGGTCATTGTCATATCGGTTCAACCTCTTGGATTGTGGGTCACGGTTATTTATTGTTCTAACATTTTACAATTTTTTTTCTGTAGTTTGTTTATGTATTTTTGTATCATTTGTGTATATGCATACATGTATATGTGGTTTGTGGATTACTGTCATATTTACATGCATGTGTCTGTTCATGGTGGATTGTGGGTCACTGTCATAGATTGTTTGTTTTTGCATTTTTCCTGTAGTTTGTTCATGACTTTTTTATGTCTTTGTGTATAGACATTTGTGTATATGCATACAAATATATGAAAATGTTCATGGTTTGTTGATCACTGTCATGTAAATAAGTGTTTGTGTCTGTTCATGGGTTGTGGGTCACTGTCATATATTGTTTGTTCTTACATTTTTCCTGTAGTTTGTTCATGACTTTTTGTGTCTTTGAGTTAAGACATTTGTGTATAGGCATACATATATATAAAAATGTTCATAGTTTGTGGATCACTGTCATATATATACATGTATGTGTCTGTTCATGGATTGTGGGTCACTGTCATAGATTGTTTGTTCTATCATGGATTGTAGGTCATTGTCATAGGTTGTTTGTTCTAATATTTTGCCTGTAGTTTGTTCATGACCTTTTTGTGTCTTTGGGTTAAGACAGTTGTGTACATGCATACATATATATAAAAATGTTCATGGTTTGTTGTTCACTGTCATATATACATGTATGTGTCTGTTCATGGGTTATGGGTCACTGTCATAGAATGTTTGTTGTAATATTTTACCTGTAGTTTGTTCATGACTTTTTTGTGTCATTGAGTTAAGACAGTTGTTTACATGCATACATATATATGAAAATGTTCATGGTTAGTGGATCACTGTCATATATATATAAGTGTTTGTGTCTGTTCATGGATTGTGGGTCACTGTCATATATTGTTTGTTCCATCATTTTTCCTGTAGTTTGTTCATGACTTTTGTGTCCCAGAGTAAAGACATTTGTGTATATGCATACATATATGAAAATGTTCATAGTTTGGGGATCACTGTCATATATATACATGTATGTGTCTGTTCATGGATTGTGGGTCACTGTCATAGATTGTTTGTTCTATCATGGATTGTAGGTCATTGTCATAGGTTGTCCTAATATTTTGCCTGTAGTTTGTTCATGACTTTTTTGTGTCTTTGAGTTAAGACAGTTGTGTACATGAATACATATATATGAAAATGTTCATGCTTTGTTGAACACTGTCATATATACATGTATGTGTCTGTTCATGGTTTGTGGGTCACTGTCATAGATTGTTTGTTCTAACATTTTTCCTTTATTTTGTTCATGACTTTTTGTGCCTTTGAGTAAAGACATTTGTGTATATGCATACATATATATAAAAATGTTTATGGTTTGTTGATCACTGTCATATATAAGTGTTTGTGTCTGTTCATGGATTGTGGGTCACTGTCATATATTGTTTGTTCTATCATTTTTCCTGTAGTTTGTTCATGACTTTTTGTGTCCTCGAGTAAAGACATTTGTGTATATACATACATATATGAAAAGTTCATAGTTTGTGGATCACTGTCATATATATATACATGTATGAGTCTGTTCATGGATTGTGGGTCACTGTCATAGATTGTTTGTTCTATCATGGATTGTAGGTCATTGTCGTAGGTTGTTTGTTCTCATATTTTGCCTGTAGTTTGTTCATGACTTTTTTTTGTGTCTTTGAGTTAAGACAGTTGTGTACATGAATACATATATATGAAAATGTTCATGGTTTGTTGATCACTGTCATATATAAGTGTTTGTGTCTGTTCATGGGTTGTGGGTCACTGTCATAGATTGTTTGTTCTAACATTTTTCCTGTAGTTTGTTCATGACTTTTTGTGCCTTTGAGTAAAGACATTTGTGTATATGCATACATATATATGAAAATGTTCATGCTTTGTTGAACACTGTCATATATACATGTATGTGTCTGTTCATGGATTGTGGGTCACTGTCATAGAATGTTTGTTCAAAACATTGTAGAAGTTTGGTTATGGCAGTTCAATTATGCATGTGTTTATGGTTTCTTGATGACTGAGTAATCATTACTTTCATAGAATGTGATTCACTGTTTTAAGATTTTTTGTATTAGAATGTGTCTGATTATGGTTTTTGGATCAGTATCAGTTTAAATATATGATATAGATATTTGTCTGTTCGTGTTTGTGGGTCACTGTTGTAAAGTACTTGATTGTGAATACTATTATGTGTGTTTTCCTCACTTTGAGAAATAAATACATAATCTTTAACTGATAAAAGTGTTACCTTATCAGTGTTATCTTACCCCTTCAAATGAAGAGCCTGGGCCTAAAATAATTTTTTTCAGCTGCCTAGTAACCCACTGAAAATGCACCTGACCCAAACTTTTTCCAGCTATTTTGTATTATTTTTTTTAAGCTTCAAGCTTTCAGGATAGTGAAACTGCATGTTTCATTTTCGATTTTTGGTATTATCAATCAGCGACTTATAACAAGAGGAGCTTATGTTAAGTAAGCCTATTTTTGTTAGTTAAAACATATTTGAAAACTACATTTTTTTAGAAAAATAAAAAAAATACCGCCCATTCTAAAAATTTAGGTTGACAACTGCAAACCAAGAATTTTTAAAGCTTGGCCCTGGTATATAGGAATTGCCTTGTCTGTCTGTTTATGTTATGAGGAGGGATTGCCATGTCATGGCCATAACTTTGAAAAAAGCATTTATATGGCTTCTGCTTATATCTTACACAGAGATGGACATGACCATGGGTTTGTCATGACCTTGACCTGGTATTACTTGAACACAGTCTCCAGAGAAAATATTTTGTGTTATGACTTTTATCAGGTATTATTTAGACAAGGTCACAAGGAGAAAAATGTTGGAATTCTGGTGTGAGCCATAGCTGTATCAGAGAGAAGAATCTAACTAGACACAGAGTTTACTTAAAACCTAATGCTGTGTCAATCAGATCATTTTCATTTGATAAGGGTCGGGGTGGGATGTGATAAACTGTGTGTGGGCCATTTTTGTGTTACAGAAATTTAAGAATCTTATGGACACCATAGTTGCTTGTGATTTGAGGGTTAGTCCTGCACCTGACACGAGTCAACTAGACGTGCAGAACGTCAGTTTGGGGAATTGTATGGGGGTCATCAACTTTTTTCAAATTGTATTTTTTTTTACCATAATATTCTGAATTCTATTGTCTCTATATTTTTTTAGAGATTTTTTTTTGAAAGGGGAAAAATCATGAAATTCAATTGATTTCTTTGACTACTTTAGTTAATTTTCTACTTAGTTAATTAAAGTAGTCAAAGAAATAAATTGAATTTCATGATTTTTTTCCCCTTTCAAAAGAAAAAATCTTCAAAAAAATATAGAGACAATAGAATTCAGAATACGGTAGATGTAGGGGTCGAAATGTGACAGAGTATCGCATTTGTCTTAAGGAAAAGGGAGCAATTATGATTTTTCCATACCGTGAAAATTTCTCTCTCTCTCTCATATTCATCTATCTAACTATTGAGAACATGTACGAAACAATGGTTGACTCATTTATTTAATAGCAAGAAAAACAAACCTTAGTCCTCAGGGCTCTAATTGGCGACTAATTTAGTCGCCGTGGGGCTTAAAATATTTGATTGACGCCTAAAATTTTCTACAAGTCGCAAAATTGGCGACCATTATAAACTGACTTGGCGATTCTCAAATTTCGGAACTATCAACATTTTCAACCTTTCTTTCTGAAGAGGAGAAAAGATAATTCAAATTTAGCAATGGGCATGCCTTGCGTTTCCTTTGTCAACTTGTTTGTTGTTCTTTTAGTCACGCACTTGTGAACGAAATTTCGCATCGCATCAGTGCACATACTGCTCATGTCATGTAAAAAAATAATCCTTAGATTTGTCTTAAGACGTGTCTAAGGATATTTT